CCACAATCCTGTCTTCTATATCTGATGTTCTATCTTCACAATCGCTCATTCGCTGTGAATACTTTCAGTGGAGTTTTTAATCTCCTGGATATCTGCTTGAATCTGTTTCATGGATTCCATTCCTTTCCTATGTTGGGCGATCATGGTTTCCATTTCTTTCTTATGCTGGGCATTCATGGCTTCCAGCATGGTTCTGAACTCCTCTATTTTTTTTTTTTTTATCTGTTTCTGTTCTAGAGCCTCTAATCATGTCTTTCACTCTGCTCACCATCTCTGTAGTTATCTGTGAATTTATTTGTGTTTTGAATTTTTTTAGAGCCTCATTCATCTGTTTGGTACTTTCTGTGCTATCAGTTCAGGGTGTCCTTGTGGTTGATTTTCTGATTTTTCCACCTTGTTTCCCCACATTCTCCCCTTGTTTTCCCCAAATTTTCCTTTTATGGGGTGGAAGTCCGAGTTTGTGCCTTGCTTAAATATCTTCTTATTTTTGTTTTTGGTACTGTCCTTGGTTTTATTCCTGGGTTGGTATTTTGAAGTTGCTTATTGTAGGAATCTTTGTTGCTCGTATTTAGAAGCCTTATGGAATTATTGCTTCTCAGAGGTGTCTTCCAGATATAGCTGGTCCTAGTTCAATCCCCTGTACCAAAAAAAAAAGACTGGTGGCCTCAAGAAATTATTTATTTTTAGTTTGCACTTTTATTTGAGACATATTAATCATGGGTATTTATAGTATACAGTATGCTATTTTGATATATGTACACAATGTGTAATGATCATGAATAAGTTATCCTTCAGACCAAAAAGATCAAGCAGAATGATTATTCAGTCAAAAGATGTTAAATTAATAGATGGTTCAGTAAACCGGAAAGTCACTGACTAGTTTAAATCCTAATTTGTGAGAGTAAATAAATAAATCAAACACTTCATGAGGCCGTTATTGGCCTCTGTATTTCTGCTCTCCAGCACCCCAGTCTTATTCTCCACATGCTTGCCCTCATTTATGAACAAACATTGACAAATATTTGTAGTCAGCAAAAATATTGCTTGCCCTTTCCCCTCCTGAAGGGGTTTTGTTACCCAGTGGATTCTAATAGCCTTCTGAGTGATCCTGAGGCACTACACAGCCACCTGTATAGACTGTAAAGCTATGACCAGCCTATAAACTCACCACTGCCTGTCTCTTTTGTCTGTCCCTGCCTCACTCCCTTCCCCTCATTATTGCTATTCTAGGACTTCTTACTGCCAACTCCCCATCCCCAACAAAATATTAGCATGTGTATCTGCCTCAGGCATTGTTTTCTAGGAAATGTGGGCTAAACCAGTAATTTATTTTTAAAAGCTCATTATGGAAAAATTTCAAGCATATACAAACATAGAAACAAAAGCACAAAGACTCTTTCATCACCTGAATCCATTAAGATTGTTTCCTAATCATTTTTTTTTACATAAGAGATTGCTAAATAAGAGATTGTGGTTTTCTAATTCTATGATTTCTTTCATATCATTAAAAAAAAACTTCCCCATGACAACTATTTGGTTTCCAGAAATACAGTTCATTACAGAAGACATTATAAGTTCTAATTCTTTTAACTGACAATTTTAGAAGAAGGAGTTTGTGCCAGGTACTTGCAATAATGTCTGTATTGGTCAACTTTCTCATTGCTGGGACAAAGTGCCTGACCTACACAATTTAAAGAAGGAAAAAGTTTATTGGCTCCTGGTTTCGGAGATTTCTGTCCATGGTTGGCTAGTTCCATTGCTGTGGTTCTGAGATGAGGCAGATCATCATGGCAGAAAGATGCTGTGGAGCAAAGCTGTTTGCTTCATGGCAAGAAGGAAGCAGATTATAGGGCAAGAGTGCCTGCAAGAGATATGCCTTCCCAAGTCATGGCCCCAAGTCCACCTTCTCCAACTGGCTCCTCCTCCTTACAGCACATTCAGCTATGCACATCAGTAGACTAATCCACCCATGATGCAACACCTTTGGGATCCAATCAGTGCTCCAGGAATCTCTTAATCCAGTCAAATTGACATTTAAGATTAACTGACATACTGTGCAATGAACTTCTTCTTTCTTTCCTCCCTCCCTCCCTCTATCCCTCCCTCCCCACTTCCTCCCTCCCTCCCTTCTTTCTGCTTTTCTCCCTTTTCTTCTCCAGGACTGAGGATTGAACCTAGAGCCTTCATAGTGAACTAGGTCTCTAGCCCACCTCCTTATTTTATATTTTGAGACAGGATCTCACTAACTTGCTAAATTTCCCAAACTTGGCTCAAACTTGTGTCTCTGCTTCCCACACTGCACACCTTCTCTCTTCCCTCTCTTCTTTCCTTCCTTTTCTCTCTCTTCTGTCTGCCTGTCCTGTGTAGCACATCATTAAGAAGTCATGTATTTTTGGGCAACCTACTTTCCGGTGCCCTCTTGCCTCTCAGGAGCTATTCCTATTCCCCATTCCTATTCTCCAATAAATTTTTTTGCTCTTAAAAAAAAAAAAATGAGGGCCGGGGATTTAGCTCAGTGGTTCCGCTGCCTGCCTTGCAAGCACAAGGTTCCGAGTTCGATCCCTGGTACCAAAAAACCCCAAAAAACAAAAAAACAGAAGTCATACATTTTTACTGTTCATTTTCAAACAACAGCATGCGTTTTAAAAAATGCTCAATTTATCCCCCCTTTTGTCAAAGGAGACTGTCTTTATTTGTTGTGAATGGATTCTTCGTTTTGTGGCACAAGATATTCCAGGCTCATCATGTATATATCTTACCCCAGACCTGAAATTACACATCTCTCTGACAAGCCCTGATTTCTATTAGATTGAAGCTAGTATTTTAAAACCCCAAACAAGATGACTTACATTATTTTATTTGTAATAAAGTAAGAGCTTATTAACCTAAAATTCTTTTCCAATGCAGTAATTTTAGAACCTAGTATTTATTGAGGTACTAAAACCATAATTGCTTGTTTTATTTTTACTTTCAGTTCGCTTTAACATTATTTAAATAAAAGATGATGTGCATCATTCATTTTAAGTATACCTGGAATTGGGTTAATAACTATACATTAATGTTTTATTTTTCCAAATGGCACAATCCATATTCAAAATTTCCCCAAATTTTCAAAACGGGAGATATAAATGCAATCTCAAATGCTTTCAAATTAATTCAAATAAGTATATCAATTTTCTCAGAGTTGCTATAGTAAAAACGCTGAGAACTTTGAAAAAAAAGTTGAAAAACTTTTAGAAATGTGATTGTTTGATACGAGGTGTCAAATTTGAGTTTTAGTTTTGACTAAGCGAAGGGTTGTAATTTCAGGTGTAAGCCCACCCCTGTGTGGAAATGCATGACATTCAAACACATGAAATGCAAAACGCTATTTGGCATATAGTTCCCTAGATTTGCAGCTCTCTGTGCTCCAGGCGCCGTCAGTGCGGCGGCGCTGAGTTTAGAGCAAGCGTTTCTCATATACATAACTGCTTGCTGCATGAGCTTGTCTTCTGATACGGTGCGAATGCACGCCCCGTTTTTCGTCCAACCCAGTCCACACTTCAGGGGCGGAGCTTCGCGTGGCCGCCTCGCGCTGTGGGCGGGGAGAAGGCGGGGCCTGGCGCCGGCGGGGCGGGGCCGGGCTGCTCGGGGACTTCCCTTGGGCCGAGCTACGCAGCTGGTGCGGACGGCGGGCGCCCGCGGCGGTCGGGGGGCTTGGGCTGGCTGAGGTGGCGGGCGCGACGCCGCGCTCCGCTGGGGTCGGGGCTCGGGACCCTTGCGGGGGGCCCGCGGGGTGGGCGTTGCCTGAGGGGGGCGGCGGGCTGAGTCCGGCGGTGACCGCGACATGTGCGCGCGCGTTTCTCAAGGCCGGCGCGGCCCCGGCCCGGTCGCTGCTCCTCCCCGGCTCCCCGGGCCCGGGGCCTGGCGTCGCAGCTCCCCGCGGGGTCCGGTCCCCACGGAGGAGTCCGCGGCCTGGGCGTGTGGGGGCGCCGTGGGCCCTTCCCGGAAGGCGGGGCGGGTGGGAGCGCCACGGGGTCAACCGCAGGATTTTTAAGGGACCTGTCTGCCTCTGTCATTTTTTTTTTTTTTTTCCACTTTTAGGGTTTTGGCCAAATTGGGCGAGGGCACAAAATAACCACTTACCCCTTCTCACCGAGGAAGAGCGGGAGAAAGGGTAAGTAAGGATGGCTCGGGTGGAAGGAGCTAGGACTTTCTCCTCGGAGGGTTGCTTTTCATCAGCATTGGGGCCCACATTCAAAGGTCACAGGTCCCAAGACTCCAGGTTTACAGTCTGTGGGGTTGGCTGGAAGTTTGACAGTTTGAGCATAAGTCAGTGTTGGTCCCTTGACCCCAGGGGAAACTGATTTCCTGTCACCTCTTGAACTTGGATCCGTGGTCCTGGAGTTGCCTGTCTCCCTCCCATAGCTTATTAGCTAGCTTTGATTAATCCCTGAGACGGTAGGTGTTAAGGAATCAGGGTCCTGCTTGATAATTAACAGGAGTTCCTCCAGGGACTTTCACATTTGAAAAAGAGGACTACTAAAAAAAATAATCCTTTAGAAAAAAAAATAAACCTTTAGGACCTAAAAGCATAATGTTAATACCGCAGCAGTGTTAACAGGTGTTGAAGTTCTTTTGGGATCTTCTCTCAGGATTCTAGAAAAAGGAAATTGGGTGAGGAGAGAAGTTACCAGGCTGGACATTTTTCTCACGACTTTCACTTTGCTGTCCCCTCACAAGCATTCTGTTCACTTGTGAAAAGTTTTTGTTAAACAGCACATTGAAGTCCTAGGACGTTTCCTGGGGTTTTCAGTGTGATCGCTTCAGTTGGTTTTTCCCTGGGACTTTGCCATCACTTCTCCAACACACTGCTTCCCTATTCCCTGTATGGTGAAATGAAACGCAGCTCTTCTCCTTTGGGTCTCCCTTTGGGTGTGTCACGTTTAAATAAACATTCTAAATTTAAATTGAGGTTAACCACAAGCAAGAATATATATAGTAAACCACATTCCTGGATGCTAACACCTGAAAACCAGAATTGCCCTCTGTGACCATCTTGGCATTGGCTGCTTGTGAACCTGCCTTGTGCACTAAAGTGACCACATAATTTGTGAGAAATCAGGAAATAGTTGTTTACTGGTGATAGCTTCCTATATTGAATGAGAAAATATTTATTCTCTTTTCTACCATGTGGTGAACACATTTGTAAAAGGAAAATGGTGAAAAGATGAGACTGTGTGAAGATGGCCATTTTGGGACAGGCCTTTCATCAGTTTTCTGTAGATTTCCTGCATAATTATGTGTAAATGGACGAGCACATCCTTATACTGCTGGTCTTAATGGTTTGGAGTCTCTATAGAGTGTTGCAGAAGAACAGTATCATTATTCTGCCTTTCTAATACAGCCAGTAATAAACGTTCAAGCATGACTGACTATGGCGATTTGTGTCTTATAATGAATAGTGTTATAGTCATTTTCCAGGGTAATAAATATATTATACAAGTACAATAATTATATGAGGATAAGTTTTTGAACTGTTCCATATGAAGGCCTAATATAAAACATTGAGAGGGGATGATGCACTTAGGAAAATAAATACTGAAGGAGACTATTAACTTTCACGAGTTTCTGTGCATTTAGCTTTGTTTCTTTATCCGACTGAGAAAAATCCTTTTGTCATTTTCTGGTTATAAGGTAAAAAAACAAAGTTTAGAATTAAATATTGCAGGAATATTAAATGAGTCTTGACGACCTGCTTCTGGGTCGGGGTTTCGTGCGTAGCAGAGCAGCTCCCTCGCTGCGATCTATTGAAAGTCAGCCCTCGACGCAAGGGTTTGTAAAGAAATAGTAAGAAGGAATGATAGGAAAATAGAAAAAGAGAGGATAAGGAAAAGAGAGAAAGGAGAAAGATTGAAAAATTAAAAAAAATAAATGAGTTCACTTTGAGATGATCATTGTTAACAATGTGGTGTTTACTTCAGTTTTTTATTTCCTATATACACATTAAATACACAATTTATATTACATATATAAATGTTAACCATACATACAGCTTAGCATATGTTAACCATACATACAGCTTAGTTATCTATTAATATGTCTGGTTCGCATATATATATATATAGAGAGAGAGAGAGAAAAAAAACCTGTTATATAACATCTATACAACATAAGATATACATGTTTCAGTTTTTTTGTAAAATTGTAGGTTTCTTCCTTTTCCTCCAACATTTTAGCCATTTACCAACACTTATTCTACCTCAAATCCTCCCATAGAAGTTGATTGCCTTTCATAGTCTTCTATTTATTTTTTCTTTTACTGGAGACCAAGTGCCCAACCTGATGCATGCTAGGCAAGGAAAAGCTTTACTTTTGAACTACACCCTCAGCCCCTATAGTCTTTTAGATACGGGTTGAATCCTGGCTTTTATTTTATTTGGTGTGCCACTTCGGTCCACTTAAAACTTATCTGCTCCTATTTTTCATCTGTCAAACAGAACAATGAATACATATAAAAAATAGTGTGTAAAAAAATGGTTCCTGGCATGTAGATAGTTAATTTCCCTCCTTGTTTCTCTATCTGATCACCCATTACTTTCTTATGATCTTCCCTTTGGTAGTAGAAAGCAATTAAATACTTTCCTATAGGTGCTAAGCCTCCTGGGTATATGTATTTTCATGGTAGATCACCTGCTGCATCTGATCTGGAATTTCTGGGACAAGGACTGACACCAGATGCAGCTCAGTTTCCTCCTGTCAGATCATTCTGCAGCCCTGCTTAAAGAATGTCAGCTTGGAAAATGAAGGGAAAGGGTTTCTATAATGTGTTTAAAAAGCTCTGACACTGTTACCAAAGTGAGAAAGACATAATACTGCGTTTAGCTGAGTGCTTAAAGTTGGGAGTTCTATTTTAGTAATGTCTTTGGTTTATAAGAATTACAATAAAAATGCTGAGGCTTCATGTCCAAACTGTCATGATTTTGCCTAGTTGTGGATTTAATATACAGCTAAGCTGTGTATTTAATGTATCTAAAACTGCTCTGGAAGCTGAGAAAGACAAATCCACAGACATCTGATGTCACACCAGACATCTGGTTTCACTCTGCCAAGGAGTACATTCTGTCAGTAGATTATAGGCGTATCAGCTGTACTGCTATAGTCTATGGCATTTCCATTACAAGCTCTGGTCTATAGGGTTTAGCATGATGTTTTATTCAAAGGAAAGCACACCGAAAATGAGCACCTGGTCAGATAAGCACATTTCCCACAGGTGTCTTCTACTGTCATTGTTCTCCCAAGTTATAAGACAAAATAGTTTCTATCTATGGTGATTTTTACATTGAGGTTTAATAGAAGTAAAAATATTCTTAAAAGCCTCATTAAAAGACCTGTTTATACCAAAAGTTCATTTTAAAGTCCATTGTTGTTTGTAATTTTAACAACCTACAGTAATAAAGCATTTAATAAGCATTTAGATTTCCAAGTCAGAACACCAAAGTTTTTAAAACTCTTTGTGTACCCATTATGTTGTTAGCGGTAATGGTTACTCTAATCTGTATAATAATAATTTTTGGAGAAAATTATACTCTTGGGTCCAGCCTAGAATGGCTAGATCACATCTCCCTCTATTTCGAGGTAGTGACTGGGAAGAGAAAAGCCCTGGAGGTTGTCAGTCTTGAGTTTTGGGATGGGCTCTGTCACCGCTTGGTTGTTGTGACTGTGGTCACAGATTTCTCAGCTGTAAAATAGGATCATTATAGTTACGTGAGACTCAGTGATTGTAAAGTAGCAAAGTATCTGGCACAAAACAGGTCTTTAGTACACAGCCATTTCATTTTTTCCTTCTAGGTCCTTCGTGGCTACAGGAAAAGACCCTCTCATTTGACATCCAGACTAACCCACTAACCAGGACTTATGGCTCCAATGGAGGGGAGTTGCTCAGGGGATCTGGGATTTGGTAGTGGGGCCTGGGAAAGGGACATGCAGAATAATGACAAAGGGGAGTACTGGTGAGCTGAGAGAAGTCCGTGGACTTTTGCACAGCCCATGGACTTAGCTCAATGAACTGCTCAGCTCACAGAAAGAACCATCTTCAGAACCATCTTTTTCTCTGGCTATTGATCTTTCATCAGCTGTTCCACTGAGAACTCTTAGCTCCTTATTTCCTGCTTAGTTTAATACAACTTTTTTTTTCTTCGTCACTTTCCTAATACCTGAATAACCGTACATTCTACATTTTTATGAGTAAGACATAACAATAAATGTTCAGTGGACCCTTGGCTTACGAATTCAATTCATTCCTGAGGGCTGGTTGTAACTCAAGTTGCTCATTTGCCTTCAAAGTCTCTCCTGTACAATTGTAGGCCACACTTTCTTCCAGGCAGATCTCAGTGTCGTTAGAAAGACACTGGCCCAGGATTTCTCAATTAACCCCATACAGGAAAGGATGTTGTAATGTTAGGGTTAAATCTATCTGAGACCATCTGGAAGCTGGCATTCAAGTTATAACTTAAGACTGTGATCATAAGTTAAAACTAAAATTCCACTTGTAACTCAAGTTGTTTGTAGTGTCAGGCTGGTTGTAACTTGAGGGTCCACTGTTTGTTAAGTTTGGTTTTCCCCATATGCTAAGTTCAGTTGATTTTCTTGCCCTTTTGTTGGTTTACAGTTCAGTTATGAACTCACCCCCACTTAAAAAAACCTATAATATGCATTGAAGTAGTGCTGAGGATATAAAGATGAAAAGTCACTGTGCTTAACCAAGGAGCTTGTAGTGTAGTAGTACGATGGATGTCTATATACAGTTTAAATATAGTCTGTTATTTGCTGTGATTGAGGTAGGTTTAAGTTCAATGGAAACTTAGCAAGAGGTCTTGATCCCTGATAGAAATGCCAGGGAAGGGTTTTAGTGGTGGTTGTGTTGGAGCTGAGACTTGAAAGCTGAGTAGGAGTGGGCAGCTGGACAAACAGCAGAAAGCATTTCCAAGGGGAGCTAAGAGCACAAGCAGTTGTGTGGCTCTGTGAGAACATAGCATGTTCTGTATGTAGGTCAGTCATAATAGCGTGTGAGGGGCCAGGTCAAGAGTGGAAGCAAATGAAGCTAGATAGTCAATTCAGTGTGTATTTCCCATCTCCTGTGTACTAGTGAATCGCAGAAGAATAGTGAAAGATCAC